GCCAAGAGGAAGGCACATCAAGCCAACCCTGATCGGGACCGCCTTTCACCTGGAAACCAATGCCCTCACTGCAGGAGACAATGTAGGGCTCCATAGTCACCTACGGACCCACCCTGGAGGATTATCCTACTCGGACAACGAGAAATCGCCTAAGTGTGCCACTTGAGGAGAATTTTTCCCAGCTTCATGGCTATGCAGAGATTCAACTTTTCCTGGCTCCTCCAAGCACCTTTCCCAATCAGAAAACCAGAGAAGTGAAGTGGGGTGAAAATTCTACTGTCATCTCCAATTACAGCAACAGTGGGATCTGCCACACACTTCTTCCTCTGGGAGGATGCACACAATCTCTCCAGTTGTAGTGGTGAGCAATACATGGGGAAAATTTTCTTCACTAGAGAGGGAGAGAGGCTCACCCAGGTCATTTAGACCCGTCGCAAACTAGGCTCCTGTGGGAGCAAGCCTTGCCAGCACGTCCCTGACGTCATGAGACTCCGCCTCTTGCCCCGCCCCTTTCTCAGCCTCCTTTTCCGTGCCAGAGTGGTTTTTCCTTTGCTAGGGCAGCATTGCCAGCATACTCTCTCAGTTGAATTCTGCCAACTGAGAGAGTACGCTGGCAATGCTGCCCTAGCAAAGGAAAAACCACTCTGGCACGGAGAAAGAGGCTGAGAAAGGGGCGGGGCGAGAGGCGCAGCCTCATGACGTCAGGGACGTGCTGGCAAGGTTTGCTCCCGCAGGAGCCTAGTTTGCGGCGGCTCTTATGAAGCAGCTGAGGAACTACCATGTGCTGGAATGAGCCCAGATGCCAAAATTTCCTTTCTTCTGTGCAAGAAAATCCAAGGAAAAGATACATTCATACAATTCTTGGTGGTTATGATAGCAACCACAGACATGATAGCAGCAATGCCAGTCAACTATGGCTAGGGGGATTCTTACAATGTGCTGTTCCATCAAGAAAATATATTACCATAATTAATAATCCACTAGGTACATCTGTGTCAAAATACTGCATGTTTTTAATTGAAAAATTAATCAAGAGTCAGCTCGCTTCCTTTAAAAAAACTACTAGATCCATTGAGAGCCCTAGGAAATATCCACTGATATGGGTTTTGATTGTGTGTTTAATAGAAGTGGGAAGCTTGAGGCAACAACCCTAAAATAATGTGGAAGTAATTCTTTAGCTCAAGAGGAAAATCTCTGCAGGTAATTTATCTCAAAATGATTTGTACTGGGGATTTCCATGCATTAGCTGCATGTCTCATGACAACCTGAATAGAAAATCAAAAGGAGCAATCTCTGTATTGGTGACTTAATAGCTCCTTTTGATACTATAGGGCCATTACTTCATGCAATGTGACCAGAATTAGATAGCCATGCTATAAACGCAAGAAAAAAAGAATAATACCATATATACTCGAGTATAAGCCGACCCGAATATAAGCCGAGGCACCTAATTTTACCACAAAAAACTGGGGAAATGTATTGACGCGAGTATAAGCTGAGGGTGGGAAATGCAGCAGCTACTAGTAAATTTCAAAATAAAAATAGATACCAATAAAAACTTGAAATATTCCTTTACATCTCTAAAAGTGTTCCAAACACAGCCCATACTGGCTAGAGGTTCTGGGAATTCAAATGCAAATAGTATTCTAGGCTCTGGATTTGGTTATCCTGCGCATACCCAAATCCATGGATGGGCAAGTCCTATTGTATACAGTGGTCTAGTAAAATGTATCT